CCGAAGTCAAGAAGAACGTGGATCTATACATCCACTCCCCCATACGTCTTTATGGCGTAATGTTTAATTAGTTAAGCAATGGGACAACTTTACCCCTAACATATGGGATAACCAACGTGCCATTATATAATCTATCTAAAGAAGCACGGTCGCTGTAACGCCGTGGTGCAGGGGGGGCGTGGAGTCATCCCGCCTCTGCCACCACTGTAATGCCGTGGTGCAGGGGGGGGGCGNTTGCTCTGTAAGGAGTTATCACCATCCTCCTAGCTCACCCTTAGCTAGGATTCTCCTAGTTCGGGGTTTCCTTCTGGGTAAAAGCTGCCCCATCTATCACATACCCGTTCAATTGTGGGCACCACTCCCTGGCATATGGTTATAGCTCCTTGACCACTCCTCCCGGAGTTTACAGGTAGCGACTTGATACTTTATTAATACACTTCATCATTATATCTTAAAGGGGCGTTCCTGTCGAGGCTACCATACTCTGCCTGTGTGGCAGGAGCCTATCCCTGTCTATTCTTATCTTCGTCTTCGGCTGCCACTGCTCCTGCGTCAGTTCGGCCCTCGCTCGGTCAGGATTATCGGGATTGGCGGCGGGGAAGTGGATTCTAGACATGAATTACACTCCCGGTACAGCCTATCCTATCTATTCTAGCTGTCTATTTACAATATTATATATATACACGATTTACATTATTTACATTTTACAAAGACTGTCCTTCCGTCTTGACTACATAGATTCTTTACCACGCTTTCTGTTTCTTCAAGTTCTCCCCATTCAGGGGTGGAGGCCTTGAGCCTCTCTCTCTCTCTCTCTATCGGACTTGCTAACGAGGACATGCAAGTCCCCCTCGAGAACATAGACATTTTCCCTGTACATTTTTGATTACACATGATATCTAATTCCCTATCTATCGTACGGTCTCTTCTACATAATCTACCCTTAGTTACATTTATATATCAACTTCCCGTTTACTATCTTTAACCTACATACTAACCATAACCCAACATATATCTGTAAAACCTTCTTGCCTAACGCCCATCCTAAGCGCTTACATCATTCTAGGATCCTACCCTCAGGGCTCACTGGTACACTGGAAATTGCACATTCAAATAGCTCACAACACTGTTATCACCAATACTATTAACCACAATATTATCTATCAGCATGGCTTATTATGCGTAAACAAACTTACGTGAAGTACAAAATGCCGATTCTCTACCTCCGCTGGTCATACCCATGTTGCCGAGAGCCTCCGGCTGACAACCGAATATTGTGTGATAGAACCTCTCAAGTCCCCGAAGTTCCCTAATTTATCGTTTTAATTCGCTGATTCGGCACTGACGACAGAGAGTAGGTGACTCCCCCTCAGTGCCCTCAATCCTCATAATAACCTCCTCATTGGCTCTCCTGGGTGGTTGTGGGCGGACCCCCTTGCGTCTTATTGCGGTGTCAGCAGTCTCTTGCGATTGAATCCAGGTTACGAGTGAGGTAAGCTACTGGCTTTGTGATTACATAGACCTGCTGAGTCTTTACATTCTTAACCTACTTGCCAGTCCTAGTGTTTACAATTTACGGCAATAGCTGCGAAACTCTTTTCGCAAGTCTCTAGCTTTTTGGGTAATAAACTACCCTCTTCAATCTCAAATTTGGGGCATAACAGTCGCTTCTCCCAGGCTTCATAACGGAATTAATGAATTTTGGTGGGTATTAATTAAGTATAACATCATGTTCCGGCTTCAAATACCAATAGAAAGTCCCAGGAGAATGACCAGTACCAGTGGCGGCTCGTAGCTAAAATTAGTGGGTGTGCTGCTCCAGAAAATTTGTAGCCTTTGTTTTAAAATTGTATAAAAGGAAACAAACATGTATAAAAAGAAAATTTATTCAGAAATTTGATAAAATCCTAAAAGAACAAAATCAAACATTTTTTACTTACTTTAACCTAAATTGTTACAGTTCAAGCTTAATATATTAATTTAAAAATGAAATCAATTCTTTTTAACCTTTATATTATACTCATCGATTGAAAGTCTCTATGCCTCACTAAGTTTCTCCTTAATACTTACGGTTCCTAAAAGTGACAGTGAAACTACATTATTAGCGTGTTTCTTTGACTTTTCATGCTTTTCAATTTTTTCTTTCGTTTTGTTTATATTTTTAAACCATCTTTTGTCCACGTTACATCACCCCCAAACAGCAAACATGGGAAGCAAAACAGTGCATTTTTTACTTCACAGCCGCAAAGCCAACTTTTCCGTTTGTACCATTCAGAATTAAAGCTACGACTATATTTCTTGTTCTTGCTTATGCCTGGCTGAGATATTAGAATATCAGGTGTTAAACGACCTCTTTCTCAACTGCAACTTTCTCATGGAGAGACAGTTGTGAAAACTTAAGCTGTTGAAGTTCACTTAGAGCCACAGAACTTATTTCTCGGGGATGCAAGGCCATGGTTAAAGTTTTCTGTTAAATAAAAGAACCGAAAAAAAAATGAATCAAATAGAATAGCTGGAAACAGGATAATAATCTAATTCTACAATTAACTCATATTTTTTATCGTTTAAACGCCGGACTTCGAAATAGTGGTAAGCTTGAGCTGGCCGGAGTTTATTTAAATGCCCGCTGCTGGTGCGCATTTATATGCCCGTTGCTACTCTGCGTTTAAATGTCCGTTCCTATGAGGCGCTTAATCACTTTTTAAGCGTTGTGTTCAAAATGCTGTATCTTGCTCAATTTTTATGATGAATGGATGGTATTAACTTTGTTTATATCAGCAAAGAACATAGTGTCGCATATTATAACGGAAGATTTGAAATTTTTAATACAAAGTGATATATTCTATTTTCAATTTTTTGTTTTAATTTTGATGCGTACTGCAAAAATGGTTTCCCAGTTCTTCACAGAGTTGTTCTGCATTATAAATTCATTTCTGTTTGTAACACTTGACGAATTTTAGCAGTCTCTGGTGTCATAAAACAGATGGAAGCAATAAAATCATTTGGTCTACTGCTAGCACTGCTTACACTCTTCGGATTTTCGAATCTTTTGACTGAGGGACAGAAGAATGAAAGCATGGCTATTCAAGAGAAAGCTAGAGGGGTCCCTTCTTCAGTGCTAAGACCTTCCGTTAGAGATGTAAAAGTTTATTGCCCCTTCTATTTGAATGAGCAGACAGCTGCACCGTGGCTAAGATACAGAGTGCGACCTGTTTTCTGTGCGTTCGTAGTGAAATCGAATACTGTAGCATAATTTCAGCCTATATATACATCAAGCAGGTAACAACAAAAAAGGTATGTACATCGAATTTTACNTACTTCGGCACTTAACGGTTAAGCACAACACACGCGGAGTAAAAAAAAAAAACCATCTTCCACCAGCGCGCCAGGGTCGGCACCGGTCGGCACTGTCGTTCCTGCAGTGCTCCCTCTTCCTTGCAGCCTCGCGTGTAGCTTCCTATGTGCGCATGCGCACAGTCAACGAACACCTCGCCGCTGGAACTGTGAAACTCACAGTTCCATACAAAGATTTGGCTACTGACATTAAGCTTAAGGATTATATATTGTATTGTACAAGTATAAAGAAAGAATTAAAGAAAAAAGGACTCATTATATAAATGTTATCGATAATATCAAGTGGAAATTGGGGGTGCTGCAGTTCCGCGGTGCCTATACGCGGGCCGGCCCTGACCAGTACATAAAAAACATTATTACAATGCAGGCTTGTAAATTCATTCCTACAGGCATCGTTCTTGTGAACTACCTGCATATTCACCACAAAAAAAAAGAATATTAATAAACCAAGCAATATTAATTCTTCAAATCAGAGCATAAATATAGTAATGAAAGTATATCCAGAACCAAAAAAAAAAAAATCATTCCCTGAAAAACCGACTTACAATGTTGAGAATTTCCATGGAGTATGGACTGTAGTTTCTAAATTAAACATAAAAGCTCTTGTTAGTACATAGTCTTTTACACGTCATGCTCCCAAAATAACGTAAATGTAAGAAATCACCGGTCACAGCACTACCATTGTACGATTTCTCCAATTTCACCAATAGATTCCAAACATAATCATCAACAAAGTGGTTCACTAACTGGACCACATGAATTTATATTAATAGTCAGTCATGTTCACAACAAGACTATTAACATTAATATAAAAAAACAACAAATTAATCGAAGCTTTATAATGAACCTTATGAATCTTAAATATGATTGTCATCATAATAAGATTAACATAAATTTAAAAAACGTAAAGTTTTGTCAGTGCTTAACTACGAGTACATAGTGAATATTGATGTTATTGCACTTCGGTGTTTCATGTTAAAGAAGATACTCAGAATATTTCAAGTCATTGAAATTAAATCGACGGGGAACCAACTTGGATTCGCCCAACAGGTTTAATGCAGCATGTATGCACAAAGTGTCGTCGAACTAGAGTTAAGAATTTCACGATTTATTCGTCATATTTTCCCCCTGTCTTGCTTATACTTTTGTTGAAGTTATTTCATGTTTTGTCACATTTATTTACAGTCTGCTGCACATATCAGTAAACGACACATAAAAGATAATCAAGTAGACAGGAGTTAATATTTGTAACTCCAGTGTCTCTTCTTTCTTTCGTAGGTTATATAATTGCATTTTCAGTACGAGACTACTTAGCGTCAGTAAAACAAGGTCACTGCCTGAAGTATTTCGAAAAATCTGAAGATTTAATCCGGCCCCAGAAAAAAAGAAAAAAGATAGACTCACGAAGGTAATTTTCTAGAACTTTTTTCTACCTGTAAATGTAGAATTCCAAATCGCGTGTAAGACTGAGTGGGTTATTGTTAGAACGGCGGTAATTCTGTTGATAAATTCAGAAATGACTTTCGTTTGTGGTTGTGTCCCCATACGTGTATTTAAATCTAAACGCTTTTCTTTCAAATACATTTTGTTGGGAAAATGCGACGAGTTAACAGATGCAGATGGCTCTGGTTTCGCAGATTATCTATATTCATTTGCCTGAGGCTCCGGAGGAAAAAAAACAACATCAAATAGAGCAGTAAACATCTGTAGCAGAGTTGTTTGTAGTAAATATGGTGCTACTGGAACTAGTGAAGTTGACTAGGCGAATGCACGAAATAAACACTGTATAACTTGCTGAGTGATCATTAGGTAGGCTATCATTTATAATCCATGAGATAGAGACGTAAATAATGCGTTTGCAAATACCGGTTTTGTATGTTGTTAAGAAGAACGCTTAACCTAACTTTCGTAAATTGATAATGTAATAATCGGCACTGTAATTATTATACTGTATTGTTTTATTCTTAGTACAGAATTTTAAATTTCATGATGTAATTATGTGTCTTTAGTAAGCCTAATGTGTTGTAATTTTACTTCACAGGATATTAAAATGGATAACAGCGAAATTATATGCGTTGAAGTTCAAGAAAATGAAAACGGTGAAATAATTTATGTTGAGAAGATTGAAAATGACGACTACGTTGTTATGGACGATGATTTCTGTGTAGTGGAATGTGAAATTGCAACTTCTGGTGAGAACACAAATTGTTTGGATGGTAATGACAATTCTGAAGCATGCAACCCCAACGAACCCGTTGAAATAATATTCTTGCGTAACTTTGATGAAGATGGGGATGGAGATCCAATTATATTAAAGCAGGAAATTGGGGAAAATGATAGCGAAATAAGTGATGAAAATTCAGAAGATAGTATTGCTGCTGATAATACCATAAAAACATATGTTAAGAAGCATCAAAGCTTAGTTAAATTGGAGCCAGTAACAAGCAATAAGTACATGAAATTTCATACTCCAGCAAGGTGTCATTCTCCAGCCAAAACAATAGCAAAAACACAGAAACTTAATGCCCTACTTCAAGTTGCTAGTGGTAAAGTAAGTCAGATGTCTAAGGCACAAGTATCATCTTCACAGGAAATTAAGTCAACAGACAAGCGGCTGATGTCCAATCCCAACATACATATACGGCGGTTAAATGCTTTCAGCCAACAGCGGCCAAAGCTCTGGTCCCATCGGGTTGACAGAAGGAATTTTCGTAAGGACGGCCTACTTAACAACATAACAAACATTACATCTCACCAGACAAAAGACAGTTTATCAAAACAAAGTAATATCAAGCAGGAAGACTTTAATAATATGCCAAAATGTAACGTTAATTCTCAAGATCTCCAGGCTGCAGTCAGAAGAAAAGTGAAGGAACTACCATATCAGTGTGAAATGTGTGATAAATCCTTCAGGCAAGCAAGCAGTTTAGTGATACATCTTAAAGTGCATGCAGGGAAGTATTCAGACAATTGTGTTATAAGTTGAAAAGCTAGTTCAGATGAGATGTACATAAAGTCAGTGGTATTAAAAATGCCTAATGTCTATATGAATTCTGGAGCTTTTATCCAACATATTCACATGGATGTATATAAACCCATGTTTATATTGATACCATAATACTGTCTGATGCACATAGCTAGTAATATTGGATATTTCTGTTAATGTAACTGTGTTTGCAATAAGGCTGCAGAATACAGTTTGGGTCCCCAAATATGTTATATTCCACAGCAGTGTATGATCCCTTAGTTCTCCTTCCTAGTTTTGTTTTGGTAGTGTGAACCACTTTAACATAGTTTAGGAATATTCAAGTCTTAATCTGCTCCCTTACTATATTAAGGTTAGGTAATAAAGTAAAATAAATTAAGAATTTGCAAGTCAGTTATGCCACCATCACATATCTTGAAAATTCATAAGCTTTCATGTTAAGAATAAATCTGAAATTCAGTTAAGATTGAGTGCCTGTCCTAAATTTGATCACCATAACTATATTTGGTAAAGAGTGCAATTTATGAAATTCCTTGTTATCCCATTAGTTGCTGGCTTCCCTCCGTTGCGGACTGGGTTCAATCCCAGCTCTGGTCAAGTGGGATTTGTAATGGACAAAGTGGCGCTGGGGCGGGTTTTCTCAGAGTACTTTGGTTTCCCCTGCCAATCTTCATTCCACCAAATTCTCCATCATAATCACACAGGGCAGGCTACAATAGGCCAATCAGTGGCTGCCGTGCTGAGTGGACCCAGTTGGACTCCACCCCCCACTAAGCGAATTAGGACCAAATACTGTAAGTAGTCTGTCCTTAAACATTTTAATTTCTGGTCTTCGTTTAATGTGAGAGGTCAAAGCAATGCCACTTCAGGGCAAAAAAAAAAAATCACCTTTATACGTTTCATGGTAGTAAATAAAATATTTAGAGAATATGGTGTATTACTCAAACTTAATTTCCATATCATGAGTTCTAAAACATAATCTTTTAGTTTTGGTTCCAAATGTAATTTGTCAGCTACTGACAATTGTAAAGGTGTTTTACTATTGTGGTCATGGGTTCTAATTCCACTTGAGGCATAAATGTTTGCATTTATTCTGTGTTGTGCAGCCTTGCCAATTGTCTGTATGATTAAGAAACTGTAAAACGGGAAAAGATTCATCTTTGACTTTAGTGCCCACACAGTAGTTTGTTTTTCCAAGTAGTACATATTTTAAGGCAAAAAAATCTTTACACACAGGTGAGCCCTTTTAATTAGGAAGAATATTTTTATGCATACAGTGTGATTGGATATTATTCACTCTGGTTCATTAGTTATTTGCCTGTGAATGTATTATTTTTTGCACAGGAAATTGTACTGATATATGATGTAGGAATAGTGTTAAGCAGACAACTGAAAGTGAACACATGGGTGGGGGATTGCTGGTTCTGTCACATTGTCATCTCTGTTGAATAACTCTAAATGTGTTGGATGGGTTATGTGGAATGTAGTAAGTCTGTATTTTCCGTTCTAAGGTGTAAAGGAAAGGTGTGAAATAATGAAGTATTTGTGTGACTTAACATGTTCTACTTGTCATGAGAAATTTGAAGACAGGTATTATACTTAATCTTACTTGTTAAATTTTTTAAATTGTAGCTTTTGAAAAAACAATGAACAGGAATCAGTGTAGTATAATTTTAATACAGGAGACAGCCATATGATATCTAACTTAAGGATTTCATGGAAAGAATGATGTGAAACCGAAACTTCATTTAGGAGCAAAGTTTCACTACTTTATTTCATATTCACTGAACATATTTTATGTTTTATGCACCTGAAACAGGAAATGGGATAGTAATTTCGATTTTCAAGGTAACTCAAACTAAATTTTCATAACCTGAAAATATTTTATACAAAATTTCATGAGAACTGACCATTGTATTTATAGTAGTTACTACTTCTGTGTGTGTTAGGTTTCAGTGATCTTGGCTTGATATTACACTGAGTACACAATTTAATACAGAATTGTATAAATACTTATAAGTAAAAAAGTATAAGGTATTTCTGTCACAAGCTGAGGAGGCCCATAGGGTTGTGACATGTTGAGGTTCCCACATTTTCTACGCAATTAGCTCATAGATGGCGGTAAGGTTGTCTGCCCTACGTGTCGGCTGCCCTTTACCCCCAAGAACATTCCTGGTACAGGATGAGTCAACCCCAGGGCCATAGTGCGGCTGGAAGGATTAGGTCAATTGAAAAAATCCAATGACCTCATCAGGATTCGATTTTGCGACCTTCCAGCTTGTAGCATAGTGCCTCAACCAACTATGCTACCATGAGATTTTGTAAGAAGAAAAACATTTACTACAAATAAGTATTTATACAATATTCATCCTGAATGTAAATGTTTTTCTTCTTACAAAATCTCACATAATTGAAAACTGCCACTTTACATACCATGTCCTTTGATCACAGCATTACTGATATACGTGTAGTGCATAGTATCAGGAGTATTATTTCTAGATGCGGATGTCAAAATCAGACCAGCAAAGTATGGTAGATACACGTTCACGCTGGTTGATGTAAAATTGTATTAATCGCCAAGCTTCAAGTTTATGTTAAGTCAGCAGACAGGGGCTCATTTATAGACTATTTACAAAAATTGAAGATTTGGTTGAATAATTTCACAAATTTTGAAGTGTGAAAAAAATCTTAACATTTGATGGCTGACTTGCCAGTTTCAACCTTGCTGCTAATTAACTCAAACCATGTTATTAGAGAAGATACCTCCTTCATTCATATGAATCTGAGAAAAGGTTGTGTTTTCAAGCATGTCTGGCTTTGACATGGATAGATCACTGATTTCATATGTGCCAGAACTGATGAATCAGTTTGGAGAAGGCAAAACATGAAATAACCATTTTATAATGCGACTAACCATGTCAAGTATGTCCCATCATGACAGAATGGCACGTCCTTGGGCTGTGGAAGGAGGAGATGGCCTCCAGACATGAAGGGTAGTTGCGACTATATTGAATAATTAGACAGCCAACAAGCAGCAATTCTCCAGCTTGGGGGGTGGGGATGAGGTTAACAACTTCTCAACATAAACAAATAATTTTGTAACAAAAATTTACATTGGGCCTTGGACTTCCATGCATTCTGTGGATAAACAACCTAAGCTAAGAGAAATGAATATGAGATTTGGTATGTGGCACATAGGTAATATACTCATATACTCAAAATATTTGCAAGAGAAATATCGAAATGTCCGATTAGATTTAGGGGGTGCACTGAACCAGCAGGTGTTTATGAATTTTCTATGAAAATGGGAATGTCAGTCATGAACTAGGTACATGTTTTTACATAACAGAATCATATCAGCACCTAAAAGGAGTTTGTTAGTGACAGGGTGTAGTCTATAATACTGTAACACATTTGATCAATGCATTGCCAGGCAACAGCTTTGTAAACACAGTCCAACACAAAACAATAGAAGAGGCTGTGTTTTCTATGTCATCTGTGCCAAACAGCAGTGGAACATTGGGGTTATGCAACCCGTTTCTAAGCAATGGCTCGATAAACACATTTTCTCATATCAGACTGTGCTATGAAAATGGTGCTTTCTGTGGGGTCTGTGCACAGTGCTTATAAGAGAAGAGAGTGACAGAATTTGTTTAGGGCAGTTACGAGTCAATCATAACTTTCAGTTCTGAGGTTCCACAGCAATTGCAGATGAAATAACAAGACGACTTCATAGTAATTTGAAGTGCTAATTTGTGTCAAGATCTGTTGCTATGAGACGACTAGTGGAAACTGAGAATCCTAGGGTGTGTGGAACGGTGAACTGGAAAGTGTGTAACTAGGTAATGGCGCTGTATTTAAGTGTGATTAAGAGAACCTGTAACCAAGGTGCTTAGAAAAACCAATCATCTGAACTAGAACCCATTACTGTTGTCACACATACCACCCTACATGTGACATTTTGGTGTCAGAAGTCGGCAGCTCAGATTGTATTGGATTCACCAGCAGTAGTTATGACTGTAAATACGTGACAACTGGTGTTAGAAGTGGTACAGATTGGATCAGTGAGATCGAACATTGGAACAAAGATATCTGAAGGTGCCATCTGACAAACATGGATGGCACCCTAGAAAAGATGGACCCAGAAGCGGAAGCCATGTCCTGCCAAGTAACAATGGAGGCATGTCTGGACAATAAAGAGCTAAATCCGAAGTGGTACTGGTCAACAAAGTTAAAGAACTGTGATGAACTATAGATAAAAAAAATGGAAATATCTATTTAACATAAACTGGACAGAGTGGTAATTTTCTGACTTCTTCTTCAGTGACTCGAGTCCAGCTGAAAGAGATACCCAAATTAGGTTGACTGAGCAAACTAAAAATAATGCCAACTCTCAAGATATAAAACTACTGTCTACTCTACGACATATCACCATGGATATTTACTTCACTTCAAAATGATTCCAGTATAAAATTGATTGAAATTAATTATCAATTAATGAATACAAATTCTGACATTCTGAAAGAGATTTTGAAACAATGTTTTAACGTTTTAACCTTCATGACTAATATATTACAATTAAGTAACATAATGAGATGTAGAAATTGGCAATGAAATTTATATTAATGTAATTTCTAATATGGATCCATATTAGACACAATTCAATAACATAAGCTGCCTGATAATGATCCGGCTGGACTGAAACATGTAGCAGATACAAAATAATAAACAAATGTTAATACAGTAATATTGGTTTATGTATTGCGAATTTGTAGTGCTAACAGCCATAATAATACTGTAACCTGCATGAAGCTTAAAAATAATCAGGTTCCTTAAGATTCCATTATAACCAAATTGTACTGTATTTCTGGGTAACAGTATGTCAAAATTTCACACAAAGCAACGATTCAATCTTGGAAGGCTTTCTGTACATCGTGGACAAGAAATAAACTTTTCGCTGGGTTCTGGCAGGAAAGTATTTCACCTGCATTATGACTGGGATTCCAATACTTAAAAAGAATTCTGTTTTAAAGACTAAGAATGTAAGTAAGGAAAACGAAATAGAAATAAGCTGATTTTTTTTTTCAGTTTCAAAAATATGTGCACCTTACAAAAGCAATACAGTTGTGTCTGTGGAAACTCTATTTGCCCTCTCATACATGCAGTTAGCACAATGATGTACATAAGATTCCAGCTTGCTTGTAACAAATAAATATAAGGCATTATGTGGATAAACATTTCTGGGGGTACTGCCAAGCATAGCAGTATTTACAGGAACATTTTCCATATATTCTAAACAGTTTCAATTAACATGTAAATTAAATCAAGCAATTCCAAAAATTACTCATATACATATAAATATGTTCTTTCTGTATAATATATGCTTAACACACATCTGCATAAAAGAAAAGGCCATTAGATTAGCACAATATGAAAATATTCCATAACACACTCATCTTTTTCAGTAACCATAACAACTATAAACCATAAAACTGTTTGTCATCAATACAGACATTTTTAGGAAGCCTATCTATCATTGATCCTCAAAACCACAAGTAAAATGATCATCACTAAAAACTATTATATGAATGGACTGAAAATATTTCTGATTACTCCATTAAGAACAGGGACAGCTTTACCTTTACCCATCTTTGACTTGAATGAGGACTGTAACTCCTCTTCTAGTAAGTTTGCAAGACGGACCACTTGCAAATCCTTGCTGATGAATACTACCAGATTGGCTGCCTGAAAATCCTTACATAATGCTCAATAACTACTACCAGACTTTCACAAAATTTTATCTCCACCTAAAAATAACTTGCTCATAATTTTTTTTTTTTATTCCTGAGTACTGTGTTCCAATATAAGCATGACACAAAGTTAAGACTCAAAAGAGGATAAAACATTTTACAGTAATGAGTTACTACATACCGTTATATAAGGTTAATTTAATTATATTGTTGACAATCATTCCTTCATTACAAAAACTTCACAAGAAAACATTTAATTCTTTTTTACTGATTCCAAATGAAATATACTACATCTAAACGATACAGGGAGCAACGAACATAAACACAGCTGAGAATGTCTTGCAAGACTGCAATGGAATTATAAACTTGGAAAAGAAGTCCATAATATTTATCTACAAATTTCAAGCAAAACAGGATAACTATATTATTACTGGTGAAGTTCTAGGGAGGTCATGCAATGGTATGTAAATCATGGAATCCATAAAAGAATACAATTAAGATATTATTAATATTCAAGCATGAACATATTTTAGAAAACAGCATAAAATATATTATCCTTTCATTCAACTGCAGGAACACAAAAACTGTGTATAGCACTGTGGTATGTGGTACCTTGCAACAGTCATATATTCCAAAGAAAATAGCATAAATAATATAAATTTCTTTACAACTTCAGCGGAACTGTTTTTGGATGACGGAACATTTTGTGTCACATCATGTAATTTTAACATTACAATTTTTAATTTTAGAAGTGGTACTCTAAGAAATATGTCACTGCACTACATAAATCAGTAGATACCATAGTTATAATAATTCCAATATATATTAATAAAACACTTTAATTTGAATTGAACCTTATACCATATCTCATTTGTTCAAGATTCAGTCACATTTCTCTTCTGTGTCATGCTCTTACACCAATGACACATACAAATTCCGTTAATTTTTCATTCTAAATAGTGGTTGTATAGACAAAGGACCTCCCTCCCCTCCCCAAAGATGGACTTGGATTAGCACACCGACTTCAAATATTAACATACTCACTGTTACATGACATAACAAACTACTCTTCTTGACAGGGTTTTAAAATTACTTCTCTTTACATCTAACGAAGGCAAGTGATACAACAAGCTTACTTCCCTGAAGCACAAACCACAATCAGAAATTTAAGCAATCACCTTACAAACCCTAATCACAAACTGTGCTTTCATTAATGGCCAAAACTATATTTGTTTTTTCACGAACATTGATAGGAAAATCAGTACCTCACTTTTCCTTCATACTCTGAATTTCATGGTATCCTACAGCAGTCTCAGAGAGAAAATAACTGTGCACAAATAGGTCAGTGATGGTACCAAGCATGCTATAGTACAAATGATATCATCTAATGAATGCAAATGAGTTAATAACATGAAACTGCAGAGATTAAGTTGCCAACCATTATGGATTTCCTCCTGCTTACACAATCAAATCACATTGTGAAATATAATCCCTTACATCTGAATTGTGTTGAATGTCATTGCCTAGAACTTCACAAATGGCATCATTTCTATATACACACAACAACATGCCTAAGAAAACAGATAACTCTATTTGCAGAAAAACACAGAATGTATTATACATTAAACAAGGTGAAGTGTTAACCCCTGATCTTTATCCATAATCACTGCCTGATGTGTCGATTTGTTGCTTGTATCACACACATAAAATGTGTGATTAAAAATTAAATTGACTCTATATACTATGCAGACAAATTGATGCCATATCTTCATACTTCATAAAGAATATATTTCTGTTTCTTTAAGTACATTATTACTTATACTTAGTTATGAACTGATTCACCATGTCAGCATTAGCTCCAGAAAAGGCGTCGACCTAAAAATAAAAAGAAACATATGAGGTTTGCAATTAAACACAGACTTAAAAAATGAACTTCCTAATACACTCAGAAACATACTCCTTATTAAAAAAAAGTTTCCAATTAACCCTCATAATGGCGATGACACATGAAAACTAGTTAAGCTGATTAAAATGTGTTTAAACGACACTTATAGTAAAGTCCATATAGGTAAACATTTGTCTGATAAATTTCCTATCCAGAAAGGTCTAAGACAAGGAGATGCTTTATTGCCACTCCTTGGCCGTGCCATAGCTCAAGCGGTTAGTCACTGGCTTCCCACCACAGTGGCCCGGGTTTGATCCCGTGTCTGGTCAAGTAGGATTTGAGGTGGACAAAATTGCACTGGGGCAGGTTTTCTCTGAGTACTTCAGTTTCCCTTGCCAATCTTCATTTGACCAAATTCTTCATTATCATAATCACCTGGGGCAGGCTACAATAGGCCAATCAGTGGCCGCCATGCCGAGTGGACCCAGTTTGACTCCGCCCCCCACTAAGCGAAATCGCCATTTCTTTTCAACTTTGCTTTAGAATATGCCATTAGGAAGGTCCAGGAAAACCAGATGGGACTGAAATTAAATGGGACATATCAGCTGTTCGCCTAAGTTGATGATGTGAATCTTCTGGGTGATAATATAGATACCATAAAGAAAAAAAACAGACTTTAATTGACACAAGTAAGGACACTGGTCTAGAAGTGAATGCAGAGAAAACTAAGTATATGTTGCTGTCTCATCACCAAAATGAAGGGCAAAATCATGACACGATAGAAAACAGATGTTTTGAAAATGTGGCACAGTTCAGATATTTGGGAACAATGATAACAGATCGAAACTTGATTCAGGAGGAAATTAAGAGGAGATTATACTCGGGTAATGCTTGCTACCATTCAGTCCAGAACCTTTTGTCTTCTCATCTGCTGTCCAAAAACATAAAAATTAGAATATACAAAACTATAGTTTTGCTGGTGGTTCTGTATGGGTGTGAAACTTGGTCTCTGACATCAGGGGAGCAACACAGACTGAGGGTGTTTGAGAACAGGGTGTTGAGAATATCTGGACCAAAGAGGCATGAAGTGACAGAAGGTTGGAGAAAACTGCATAATGAGGAGCTTCATAACTTGTACTCTTCTCCAAGTATAATTAGAATGATCAAGTCCAAGAATATGAGATGGGCTGGGCATGTAGCACAAATGGGGGCAAAAAGGAATGCATATAGAACATTGGTTGGAAAGCCAAAAGGAAAGAGACCTCTGGGAAGACCAAGGCATAGGTGGGTGGACAATACTAAAATGGATCTTAGAGAGATAGGATGGGATGGTATGGATTGGATTGATATGGCTCAGGATAGGGACCAGTAGAGGGCACTTGTGAACACGGTAATGAACCTTCGGGTTCCATAAAATGCTGGGAAATTCTTGAGTAGCTGGCAGATTTGGCTTCTCCTCAAGAAGGGCTCAGCTCCGTAAGTAAGTAACTGGCAATCATATAATCGTACAAAACAGCTATATAAGGTGCCCTTCTTTTGCCCTTATTATAGGGGCATATTAATTTTCTGAATGCATTCAAACTTGTTTGTTCCATCCCTCATGAACATGATCTTAAAGTCAGACCTATCTTCTGCCATTGTATGCTATCTGTAAAAGGATTTAGAGACTGCGGCATCTATAGCACCCTCAGAATTTAATAACCTCATATCGGTGACCAGCACTGTCCACTTCAAAACGGCCTATTATATTCCTTTCTCTGTAACTTACTGTGATCAGCTACTGACACCAACCAAATGATAACTCTACAGTTTTGTTATGAAAGTATTCATTGCAATATGAATTCATGGTGACATTTTACCAGGAATTTTATGCTTGATAGTAGTAAAAGACATTAAATAAACTTAAATATGATAAATTAGTGCTTCTGAACTTTGATTTTTAAAATTAAAAACTGCATCAAGTAAAGAAAACAGCACAGTATTCTCAAATAAAATGTGTAGGGAAGGTGCAGTAATGTAAAAATAACATTTTGGCATTACTTGTGATTATTGTAATAATAAATGTTACTTTCCATATGCAAACATCAATAAAGGTAACAAAAGATGGCTTATAAGTCATGCACACAGGCCTATGTAGCTAAAGAATGAGAAGAATGTGTGATGAATCTTACCTCAAATAAGCCAAATAGGAAATTAATAAGTGGAAATATAATATATATGAACCTGACCTCACAACTATACCTTGATTAGGGAGCTCAGAAGGGGCACAGTGGCAGAATATTATTTATATATAATAAAAATAAAGGGAAATATGCATGAATGGATGACCACACACAATGTTATACCTGCAAGTTTTGATAGATTTCATGTGTTAGGCGAGGAAGTTGAATTTTTAAGTAACACAGAAATGAAAGCATACTCTGATCCCCAACAACGATAAAATAAATCACATAAATATAGACCAAGCAGAAATAAATTTGTGGGGACTGCCCATATTCAAGCAAATGTTACAGTGACAAGGCAAGTATCATTGCTTAGCAATGGCGAATAAACAGCCTAGCAACAGCTGTTTACTCGCTTTGCCTAGCAACGGCTGTTTACTCGCCGTTGCTAAGCAATGATAATTGCGTTGTCAATGTAGCATTTGCTTGAATGTGGGCAGTTCCCACAAACTTGCTGTAGAAGATCATGCTAAAGCTGTCCTGATAAATTTATCTCCACACCTCAAACAAAACATTCAAGCATGGGATCATGTAAAACAATGGGCATATGTCAGAAGAGTCGCCAAGAGCTTGAATGTTGGGTACAATAAACAAACTAAGAAGGACTGCATTGTGCTATGGTATGGAGCTAGTGAGGTATCAGTAAATAAGGCAAATGAAAGACTCTAACATTCAGAAAAACTAATAAAAGAGCATGAAAACATAAATGTAAAAATTTATGGGTGTCCTGCACAAATATGACTTGCTACCTTCACCTTGTATCAGTTCTGAGGTGCAAAACTTTAAATGGAAACAAACAAAATAAAAACTCCGTGATTTTAGTTCACATGCGAACTACACTGACTGAGCAGCCGCTGCTTGTCGGCGAAGTTTAGTGCCAACTTTTGCAGATAGAGGGTGTCACGTGGTCAGCACAATGAATCCCCACGACCATTAATTTTGGGTTTCTAGACCGGAGCCACTATTTCCTTGAAATAGCTCCTCAATTATCATCCTGAAGCTGAGTGGACTCCATTCCAGACCCACTACTTCTCGGAAAATAATCTGGTAGCGCCAGGAATCGAACCCGGACCTCTGGATCTGTAGCCAGAAACGTTGAATACAGAGGTGGTCCTTTAATTGGAACACGAAGACGAAATGAAAATACATCCATATGTAATTACTATGGACAGTGATTTGGAAAGTAAACATTTCAAACACATTGCCTGAATAAGAATTCAAAAGCTTCCCTTTGAATTGTCATGCAGGCCATGAGTCATGAAGTGTTTCCTTCCCATTATAGTACAAAATATTGCCACTCAGATTATTGATGTAACTACTTGGAAGAAAGATAATGAACTAATCATTACATAGTGGGGCACAGAAATAGCCACCAGTTGGTAAAGTCATTAATCGGAAGAGAATGGAGCGAAGTGCTGTGTAACACCATTAACACCACTATGTGGTACATCTAGCTCACTAGAGAAGCAGCCAGACAACACCAAACTAACAACATTACCACAACGTGCACACATAACATCATGTTACAGAGCTAAGGACCTACCACATACACCTTTTTGTGGATGAAGGCCTCAACCAGATCAGTGTCATACATACTGACAACATTAGCAGTAATACAGTAGAACTTGGTTATAAAATCATCAAAGGGACCTAAAAATAGTGTCGTTATAAACGAATGTCGTTGTAACCGAAATGGGCACTTCCACAGTGGCCTTATGTTAGTCACGTAAAAATCTACCAAAAACCAAGTTAAAATGTTGCATTTTTTAGTGAAATACGTAGTTAAGTACAGACTAACGTAACATTAACGTGGAATTGCCCAAATGTGTAATATCAAAGACATATTACAGCGCTTTTCACTGACAATACACACAATATTTCACGAATCACTTTAACTTTCTCTTCAATGCTTAAAACTTTCCTTTTCATTGCCATGTTTTCGCTACTGCACTTCTCTGGGTTTAGGCAGGAACACTATTGGGTAAGTAGACAATGTGAGGTCCTGTTAGACGAGATTCTAGGAAAGGAATGCAGTTAACAACCTGCCGCGTCCTCTTGCACTATTCACGCAGTCCCACCCCACACCCTTGTTTTCACATAAAACCCACGCTCCTCTTGCAGCCCGCGGTCGTATTCTTCCAGGACAGTCACGTCAGCAAGTAGAGAAAGTGAGGGTGGGCAGACACATCGAACTTTCCCACGATATCAGAGAAATTCAGGAATGAAAATGACGTTACATACGAGGTTGATGCATTTGTGCATGTCGTACTAAGCAAGGTATAAAAACAGTTGCTTTATGAGGAATTAGTTCGTACCATTGAATATTTGACACAATAGGCAAGGTGTCGCAGAAACCGAAGTTGCTATAACCAAGTTTTACTGTATATGCAGGGTATTGTCTATACAACCCCAAAATACTAAGTTAAAACCAAAACCATCATTCACCCATAACTTAAAAATTTATAATACACCATAATATGCAATATATAATGGCATAAAACTGATCAAATGTAAATATTTCCCCTAAATTCCTCTCATATTTTGGTCATTTCTGAACATGACCCAAGGAATGGAGCTGAGTTCTGGAGGAGAAGCCAAATCTGCAGCTACTCAAGAATTTCCCAGCATTCTATGGAACCCAAAGGTTCATAACCATGTCCACAAGAGCCTTCCACTGAATAAAATAAATTCATAAAATATATGGGTATCATATTATTACATATTACTGTAGAAATAAGTATAAAGGTTGTGGAATAGCACTGTGCACA